TTTGTGTGTGTGAGAGAGAGAGAGGGTGTGTGTGTCTGTTTGTGAGATAGAGAGAGAGTGTTTGTATGTGTGTGTGTGTGTGTGTGTGTGTGTGTGTGTGTGTGTGTGTGTGTGCATACCCCCGACCAGCCGAAGGGCAGGAATTTCCCATCGTCCCAGTTCTCTCCGTTGACGAAGAACAGCCCGGCGATCATCATGAACACCCACACTGCGAGGTTGATGACGTTCAGCACGTTGTTGAAGCCCACAGAGTTCTTCACTCCCAGAGCCACGATGACCGTCACCAGCAGAGCGATGACCAGCGCCAGCAGGTCGGGGTACGACTGCTCGCCTTTACCTGAAACCACAGATGCTGCAGTTGTACAAATTGTTTCTGTAACTTGATAGCAGTAGGGAATGCACATTTGCACTGTAAAGCAATCAAATCAAACTTTATTTGTATAGCCCAATACCACAAAACACGTTGGTCTCAGCGGGCTTTACAGATAAAAACAAACAACAACATTGTATATGATGGAGTTAGAGCTAAATGAGAAGACAAGATAGTGTGTGGAATACAAATATTCTGATCTTGTTTTGCAGACTCTGGGCTCCACTAACAGACCTGCACGCTGGGAGCGTAATGTTCTAGCGGGGCAATAGTGGATAAAAATGTATTTTAGGTAAGACGGTGCCTGAACATTTAGCACTTTGTAAGTTAAAGGTCTCCTATCATGCTATTTTTAGGCATATATTATAGGTCTCAGATATATAAAAATATATAAAAAAACATGTCTAGGAATTGTTTTGCTCCAAATACCAAACAGATCACCCATTCTAGCCATGCCTCATATCGCTATTTCAGCCCTTTTACTAAAGTGCTGATTTTTTTAAGAGGGGGCGGAGCTTATGCCTGCTCACATTTCCGATATCTGGATCAGCTCCGTTGTNCATGGAGGAAAAGAGAGAGGGTTTGGTTTTTGACACACGGGGGACACATATTTATGTATAAAAAACATCAAAAAGTGCATTTAGCATGATAGGTCCCCTTTAAAATAAGTATTTTAAAATCAATTCTGTGCTTTACTGGTAGCCAGTGTNCATGGAGGAAAAGAGAGAGGGTTTGGTTTTTGACACACCGGGGACACATATTTATGTATAAAAAACATCAAAAAGTGCATTTAGCATGATAGGTCCCCTTTAAAATAAGTATTTTAAAATAAATTATGTGCTTTACTGGTAGCCAGTGTAGAGCTGCAATATCATTAGTTGCTATTTAACATTACTCTGCTAAGTCTTTATAAATACACACACACAGGTGGCCAAACAGAAACTAACGAGACATATTTTGAGTTATATTTCCCTTGCTTTCCTGCAGTTAGGAGTAACAGCCGTTTATCTCCAGCAGGAAAAGGAAAACGTGAACTTTCCATTATGGATGGGAACAGCTGGCCATGCTGCTTACCATGTGACTAAAACCTCTGCTGTGTCAGTGTCCGACAGGAAGAGGCTGTCAGGGTGGGGTCACACAGAGAGACATCCCTGGCACACACATCAGCTCTAATGTAACACCACAGAGGCAGGCAGTCCCCTCATGGTACATTTACAACCTGGAAAACTATGTTCCACGAATCATTTAGAAATACAAGATGCTCCGTCCTCTATTTCTCTACATAATGACACAATTTCCGAGATAAGAAGCAATACATTGTTTGGACGCTCCGGGGAAATATTCTGATACGGTTTGGATGATTTCCCAGATGATGTTGCAATCATTTTTTCCAAAACAGGACATCAAGCCACTGTCATGTAAACTGTGTCCAGTGATACAGATAACAGTGTGCTTCTGCTTCATGTTGAGAAGGCAATTTATGACAGAAAACAAACATTACTGCAAGAATAAAGAATGACAGCAATAAGATATAGTTCATTAAATCTGTTTCTTTGGTTCAAACGGTTTGTAATGCAACCCAGGAGGACTCAGGTTCAAGCCAATACAGAGGTAAGTATTTAAAGCCAGACTCTAAGATGAAGCTTTGATGAAAGACGGGGAGTAAAAGTATGCCTTTTACTCCCCGTCTTTC